AGGAGGACGACAGATACTCCTCGAACTTCAGTTGGTCGAACTCATATTCGACCACTTCTTCAACCGGGATCTTAATCATCGGTTGCGACACGACGGCCTCGGTAATAAGACCGTTGGCTCCCACTGTGATCGCCAGTTTGTTTGTTGTCAAAAGTTACTTTCTTCATTGTATAACTCATTACAACTTTGGTCGTTACAATAAGATCGAAAGATTGGTCTTTTTATAAGACTCTTTACAAAATGAAAGAAATAAAAATTACAACTCTATCAAACAAACGTAGAGAGATCGTTTATCGGTCTTCTACTTGCACGGGATCTTTGCCTGTGCCGGGGAATTTAATATCCGTGGACCGCCTTAGATCTGGATCCGATTGATGGAAAATTGGGCAGAGCTTCGCCTTCGCCGATGAAGTATTTGATTTGAAGCGCTGAGATCGACCAATCGAAATCAACACTCTTCTCGAGATCAAGACCAAGCTTGATCTCAACGAAATGGGGGAAGCGGGCTTCGGATCTCTCGAACTCCACTCTTTATGCACAGAAAATTGCCAAGATCTGCTAACCTTTGCTGTAAATTCGTGACTCCACTCTCCAATTCGGTAGCGTTTCGCCCTCTTGATGTCCGTCCCTGTGAAATAAGCCCCTAGGCCTATATATATAGGCTTCGGTTGGGGGGTTTTCGGATAAGAATGAGTGATTTGACCTTATCTTCAGTTAATAACGGCCTAACCACGTTTGTTGATGATATCAAATCAGTTGGGAACCTCTGGAATAGATAAATCCTGAGAAAACCGTTCAAAACCATCGAAAACGCGTATAGGCATTTTAGATGCCTACATGGACATGCTTACAATTGTCAAATGTACCATTTTGCATCACTTAAAGAATCATGTCCTAGCCCTCGTTGATTTTGGTTTAGATATTGAAAACATGAACTTGTTACCAAAGATTGTTGCATGTACGCCAACACAATTGAAATATGAAGAAATGTTTCCTCAGCTATTTTGTTGGAGTCTGCCTCGACTTAGAAGACGATTACATGCATGATTATGTTTGTTTATTTATCTTTTTCTTTTTACTAAATTCATCATTCTCATGCTGTGCTATTCAGGTACAACTAGCAAATCAAAACCAGCTTGGCGACCACTACGGTTCGAAACACCCCAGAGAGAAACCTCCAAGTGAGTCTGGATGACATTGCAAGCATTTGAAAGGGGTTTGGGATGTATTACCTTCAAGTGTATCGATCTTATTTGTTCAAGTCCTACCTCTGCCATGTCTATCATCTTTTGGATCATGTATGAAACATTATAAGATTTTGTGATGCTTACTATAAGAATGACATGCACCGGATGGAAACGATGTTGCGTCTTTCGACTGTATCTGTACTTTTATGTGTATATAGAACTTTATTCTATTTTGGTTTAAAAATCGTGAAGTTTTTTACGAGCGTGTTTTGATCTCCTTACACGTGACGAGATTCTGATGACAGGCGAGAGTTGAAAAATTAAAAGATGGAATTTGCTTTGTTTTTGAGAAAGTTCAAACTGTACAAGAACTGCTTGTACAGAATCAGATTGTTTATTCCGGTCATTCTGTTGCTTTTGGTTGAGAGATCTTATGGACAAGCATGTTTCCGTTGTTAGTGATGAGCAGCATCTGCAAGCTTATTCGAATTGCCTACAGATACGATCATTTTCCTTTAATTTACCAATGAATATGTTTGGTTTAATTTACAAATCAGTGAAGAACTACTTATTTTGGTCCTTGTCGATTGCAGTATGTTTACTTAATGTAGACTCTGGCCCATGCAGTGCACTCGATAGACACATCTAATTCGCGAGCACTGGCTATGGAAAACTCAAATGCAAATAAGAAACAGTTTTGTGAACTGAAGAATTAAGTGGAGCAAAGAAGGGGAAAAAAATGTTGAAAAAAAGATAAAAAAATATAGCAGGTAAGAGTAGTAAAAAAAGAAGAAGAAAAAAAAGTAGAAATAAGAAGCAGATCAACTATAGCAGGCGAGGCGTCATCCAGAAACCGTTAAAATACCAATGCGGATCCGAGTAATACTGCCCCCAACTTTTATCTCCCAGATTATATATCAAGTGATGGCGAAAGTCGTCGTTGTAAGAAAAGCACAATATGCGATGTAGAGAAACAAATAGAAGGAGGAATATATGTTGGAATTTTCCTGATTCCTTTCTCTGTATTATCTTCTATATATAGAGATGTAGAGTACAATGATAAGGCTAAATCTATTCTTGTAACTATATACAGGTAGACTCTCTTAATTTCAGCCTTATACTATGAACAATATACAGGTATATGGTTGTAACTGAATCTCAGATATGATTGTAACTGAAAGTTTAGCTGATTGTAGAGATCTCGCACAACTGAATGTAGAGATCTCGCACATCCCCCCTCAAGCTCACGACGGGTTATCCCGTAAGGAGAGCTTGTCCCGTAGCCAGAGAAAGCGAGGACTAGGGAGAGATTTAGTGAAGATATCAGCGACTTGAACTTTGCCGGGTAAATGAGAGAGACTGATTGCACCTCGAAGGACATGAGCACGTATGAAATGAACATCGATGTCAATGTGCTTAGTCCTGCTGTGGAAGACTGGGTTTTTGGACATATGGATCACGCTAATGTTGTCGCATAGAATCAATGGAGGATTGGATAGGTGCACTCTGAGAAACCGAAGCATATGTAAGAACCAAAGAACCTCAGTAGTTGTGGAAGCCAATGCGCGATACTCAGCCTCTGCACTAGATCTAGAGACAGTAGATTGTTTCTTAGATCCCCAAGAAAGAAGATTTTGCCCCAAGAACACTGCATATCCCGTTGTTGAATGTCGACTGTCTGGACAACCGGCCCAGTCTGCGTCTGAAAATGCACGGATCTGAAGAGAAGCATCCTTAGAAAATCTAAGGCCTAAGGATAGAGTACCTTTGACGTAGCGGAAAATCCTCTTGACAGCAGCAAGATGAGAGGAGCATGGCTTTTGCATAAATTGGCACACATGATTGACTGCATAAGTAAGATCCGGACGTGTCATCGTTAAGTACTGAAGGGAGCCAACCATCTGTCGGTAGATCGTAGGATCAGGAAGAGGATCTGGGGCCGAAGATGAGAGTTGAAGTCCGGCTTCAAGAGGACTTTTAATAGGTTTAACACCAGAGAGACCAAACCGATGAAGAAGATTGAGTGCATATTGAGCTTGAGAAAGAATAAGCGAATCATGATTCCGCACAACTTGCATGCCTAAGAAGAAATTAAGAGCTCCCAAATCCTTCATGTCAAACTCTGAAGAAAGACGTCTAATGAGCTGAGAAAGTAGGTGATCATGGGTTCTGGTGATGATAAGGTCATCCACATATAGTAACACGAGAATGGTGCAGTTACCTTGATTCCACATAAACAATGAAGTATCATGAGGACAGCTGATGAATCCAAACTGTTGAAGAAAATTTGTAAATCGAGTGTACCATGCCCGTGGAGCTTGACGTAGACCATAAAGTGCCTTGTGCAAGTGACAGACATGGTTCGGACGGGCTGGATCAATGAATCCTGGTGGTTTGTTGGAGGTAGACGACTTCGTGCAGATCCCCATGTAAAAATGCATTTTTGACGTCTAATTGTCGGAGCGGCCATCCATGTTTGAGTGCCAAGGAGAGAATAAGTCGCACAGTACCGGATTTGACAACGGGACTAAAAGTTTCAGCGAAGTCGAAACCCTCACGTTGATTGAAGCCTTTTGCGACCAATCGGGCTTTGTAGCGTTCGATGGAGCTGTCCGCACGATGTTTCAGTTTGTAGACCCACTTACAGCCGACAATATTCATTGATGGAGTAAGGGGTACAAGTGTCCAGGTGCCGTTACGCTGAAGGGCATCATATTCCTCTGTCATAGCTTGTTTCCAGTTAGGATTAGCTGCTGCCTGCTTATATGTAGAGGGCTCTGCTGGATGATTTTGCAAGGTGGAAGCAAGTGCTAAGGGGATCGGATGTCGAGTTGCACAGAGGCCCTTTGGATGTCGGGTCCCATCGCGAGAGCGAGTGATCATGGAGTGATGAGAGACTGATCGTAGTGGATTAGGATCAAAAGGTGCTGCCCCAGGACCACCTCGAGTACCTCGAGCCTGTTTAATAGGAGCATGAGTAGGCCATGCTGGTGGCAACAGAGATGTCTGATTCGAGTTGATAGGTGCAGTATTCACAGTTTCTGGTGCAGGAAGTTCAGGTGCAGGAAGGTCAGGTGCAGTAGGTTCGCCACCATTTGTAGAAGGCCCAGGAAGTGCGGGGCAATGATCAACTGGTTCATGTGGTGCAATTCCATGATCCTGGATTCCCGCGGAAGAAGAGCTAGATTGAACTTGGCCTTTGTTGACTTGAGATGAATCTGTTGTCAAATAATGAAGTGTCTGATCTGGAAACGGCTGGGTTCGAAACACCGGTGAGGCAGTGCTGGATGTTTCCTGTGATATTCTTGCAAATGGAAAGGAATTTTCATCAAATGACACATGCCGTGAGATATAAATTTTGCCAGATACAGTATCCAAGCATTGATAACCCTTATGTTTGCCACTGTAACCAACAAACACGCATTCAAGTGACTTGTAAGCCAGTTTATCACGACCAAAGGGATCAAGGAGTGGAAAACAAGCACAACCAAATACTCGTAGATGAGCATAATCAGGTTTTTGACCAAAAATAGTCTCGAAGGGAGTTCGACCATGTAAAGAGGAAGAGGGTAAACGATTTATGAGGTAAACAGCAGTGGTAAAAGCATAATTCCAGAGATGACGGGGAAGAGAGCTATGGGCTAAGAGTGTGAGACCAGTTTCTACAACATGACGGTGTTTGCGTTCAGCAAGACCGTTTTGTTCGGGGGTTCCTGGGCAAGAGAAAAGATGAATAATGCCTTGACTTGCAAAGAAATCACGAAGTTGGTGACTTACATATTCACCACCAGAGTCGGATTGGACGAACTTAACACGACTATTGAGTTGATTTTGCATCAAAGTTATAAATTGAATAAATATGGATGGTACTTCTGATTTTCGACGTAAAGGAAAGTACCAAGAGAATCGTGAACATTCATCAACAATGATCAAGTAGAACCGAAAACCTTCTATTGATGGAGAGGGAGCAGGTCCCCACACGTCACTATGTAATGTGTGCAAAATCTGATCCGTATAATTTGTACGACGAGTGAAGGGAATTTTGGAAGATTTGCCAAGTTTACAACTATGACAACAAACTTTATTACAACGAGTAGAATAATTTAAAACAGAGGACAATTGATTCATAGAAGAAAAGCTAGGGTGCCCTAAACGGGCATGCCATGTCATTGAGTCCATCTTATTAGCAAGCAAAGCAGAGGAAAAGGCAGACTTAGACGGAGCGACTCCAATGGGATACAGCCCTCCATGTTTAGAACCCTTCAATAGAATCCGGCCGCTCCTCAGATCCTTGACAACAAAACCCCAAGGGTAAAACAGAAAACAACAGTTATTATCCTTGGTGTATTGAGAAACACTAAGCAAATTTTTCTTAATGGAAGGCACGACAAGAACATTAGATAGATGAAGTTTAGTATGAGGTATAGTCAAATGACCAAGATGAGTAATGGGGAGAGTGGAACCATTACCGACAAGGACTGAATCTGAGCCGTGATAAAAAGTTTTACCTTCAACTTGAGTTGGGTCAGCTGTCATGTGGTTTGTGGCGCCCGTGTCTGGGTACCATGCATGATCAATTTGATCAGCGAGATGCATGGCGGTGAAGGCCTGAGTTGTATCAGCTATAATAGAGTCTGGAGCGAAACAATTGTTTGCTTTGTGGTAGGGGTGACCACATCGAAAACAGTAGACTCCCGAGGAATCTCCAACCGGTGAAGCATTAGGACGACTAGAGCCACGACCACCACGAGACAATCCACGTGAAGGTCCATGACGACCACCACGCACCGGCATGGAATGAAGATGGCTAACACTGTCACGACCACTAGGTGAAGGTCCATGACGACCACCACGCACCGGCATGGAATGAAGATGGCTAACACTGTCACGACCACTAGGAGAGAAAGATCCACGACCACCATTGCCAGAGAAGAAGGATCTACGACCTCCATTGCCACAAGCCGAGCGACCACCAGAGTTGGTGCGCCCTCGACCTCGAATAGTAAACATGGCCACTGGTGGATCAGTGGTTATCTTTGTGGATTTGATGCGGAGCTCAAAATCCAGCAATAGAGCAATGACCTCATCAACTGAAAGAGGCTCTCGTGAGGTGTTGACAGCAGCAACAATAGGATCGAATTCAGACCCGAGGCCGCGCAGAATCCACGAGATAAGATCATCTTCATCAACCGGTTTGCCAGCTCTAGCAAGAATCTGAGCAAGAGATTTAGGCTGAGACACAAAATCAGAGATAGAGTGTGCACCTTTTGAGAGTGACTGAAGTTCGAAGCGAAGTTGTTGAACCCGCGAGCGAGTCAAAGTGCCATAGAGGATCTCAAGAGTACGCCACATCTCTGCAGAGGTCGCACAAGTACCAACTTGATTGACAGACGCTTCAGAGAGGCTATTTGTGAGCCATGCTAGCACCAATTGATCAAGTCGGATCCATTTAGCTACTTCTTACGATTCATCATCACCATCAGGTCGAGGAAGAGTTCCATCCACAAGTCCAATAAGACCATGAGAACGGAGAACAGGAAGAACTTGCGTGCGCCAGGGGAAGTAGTTTGTGGAGAGTAATTTGATGGAGACCTCTTGCCTAATGGCCTTCACTGTTGGAATAGAGGAAGAGCTGATAGGGATTTCTGATGTTGCATCGGAAGCCATTTGCTCTGATACCATGTAAGAAAAGCACAATATGCGATGTAGAGAAACAAATAGAAGGAGGAATATATGTTGGAATTTTCCTGATTCCTTTCTCTGTATTATCTTCTATATATAGAGATGTAGAGTACAATGATAAGGCTAAATCTATTCTTGTAACTATATACAGGTAGACTCTCTTGATTTCAGCCTTATACTATGAACAATATACAGGTATATGGTTGTAACTGAATTTCAGATATGATTGTAACTGAAAGTTTAGCTGATTGTAGAGATCTCGCACAACTGAATGTAGAGATCTCGCACAGTCGTCGCCCTTCACGTCCACGATGGCGGAGAAATACTCGGGGTGTAGCCTCTCATCGGCGTCATGAGGGATGTAAATGCAGTTGCTCCTCAACCTTGGGAAATCGGCGGTGGACAATGAAACGGACAGGCTTTCTGTCCCGAGAAAGAAGGAGAAACTGCCGAGGGATTCGATGGGAGCCCACTTCTTCGGGGCATCGTCGTCATCATCATCCATCAGTCTGTAGACGTCAATCTCTCTCCTCTTCTTTTCTCCCACCTTAAGCAGATTCCTCCATCGAACCAGGAAAAGCCCAGACGATGAATTGACGAGCCGCGCTTGCTGGAAACTTGTCCATCCGTTGCCTTCTTGGTAAGCCGGGAGATTCAGCGTCATGTCCGTCGCTCTGACGGTCGGCGAAGAGAAATCCAGGGCGATGATTCTCCTAGCACCCCAGTACGCTGCGTAGAACAGGCCATCTTTGTACGCAGCGACATCTTCAAACTTATCGTAGCCCACAATATCCCCCAGATCGATCCAGCGGTGATCGACTCCTAACCGTGTATAAGCTAGAAAATTTCGAGATAAACCCCACATAGCGACAGCGGCGGTGTTGTTCATGGCGATCCTGACGATCCTACGGCATGCGGGGTGCTTGCTGGGGTCCTCGGATAGGGTGGACGAAGAAGGGAGGAGGCCGAGTTGGGACCAAGAGTCGAAAGGGTTGACGAGGTGGATCCCCCAGTTGTCGCGGCCGCGATAGCTGGCGTACTCGATCATGAGACAGTGGGCGTCCGCGGAGATGACGGTGGCCTTGGCACAAAGGTTGGGGGACGGGGATGCGAGTAGGCTTGGGGGGGGGCGTGGGATCGTCGGGGGAGAGGGAGACGGCGGTTACCGCTTTTTCTGGATTTTCTTAAAGGCGGGCGGAGGGAGATGAGCCACGGGAACTCGCGGTCCGACGCGAAAGGCTGGTGGCGCGATGCGTTCGGCCGGCAGAACGCAAAGGAGGTGGCAGACGGCGGGAAGCGGAGGGTAGTCATCGAGAGGAAGGCGTTTCTGTATGCAGCTGAGGATGTCAGAGGGCAGGTCCGTCGCTGTGGTGGTGGTTGAAGCCATGGAGGAGGAGGAGGGGGGGGGCGGGGGGGGGGACACGCTTGCTTGCAGAAGGATACGAGGGGGATGCGGGTTTCTGTACCTGCGAACGAACAATAAATAAAGTTCCGTTCACTTAGTACCTCTGATCGAGTCCTACTTGGAACCGCCCTCCCTGATCAATTCGAGTCCGAGTATTAGGGGGAACCAGTTCCGCTCACAACCCTGATGACAGCACATGAGAAGAAAAAGAAAGAAAGAAAGCCAACTGCGTACGCGGTTCTTATTCCTTGAAAATATCCTAATCAAGTGACCTCTAAACGATTGATATCGGATTCGGATCCTCTCCACTAAAAAAATAGTGGAGGGACCACTACATAATCACAGCCATTAATTATCTAGTTGATGGTTATGATTTTTTTTTTTAGTGCAAATTAGGAATGAGTGCAATACACGTGGGTATGGTAAGTGTTAGATTTAGATTGTATCATAACCGCTTACTAAATAATCAACGTTTGAGATTAAAAGTAGTGGTCTCTCCACTACTTTTTTGTAGTGGAGGAGATCCAAATCCATTGATATCCCTTTAATTTATGGAATTATTTTTATGCTTAATTAATTAATTATCACTTGAATAAGAACCGTTCATTCATCAGAAATTATATTTTTGTTCCATGAATAAAGCCAGGGTAATATGGGGTTAACATTTAGAATTTGCGTACGTATAATTAATGATTTAGATGGAAAAATCACAATTAATTAGGAACCAACCCGTTCGATCCGCAATTCCAGTCGTCCAAGCAAGAGTCTGATTCCTCGGTTAATGTTATTATTATTAATAACGGAAGGCAAGAGATAAAAAGCAACAATTCTTCGCTTTATTTTTTGTATCATCACTAAAAAAAAAAAGCTTACTACCAGTTACTTACCTTGGAGGGGAGACGGAGACCTTTACGTTAAAAAATCACACAAAATATGTAAACGTATAGAGTGAGAAGTCTTAAAATATGACCTAGTTGTTGTGTCCTGTTTTCCTACATGATTAACGCTCTTCATTCAAAATTTTTGTTCATTCAAAATTCTTGAAACTCCATCTTTTTTCCTCCATTTTTTTTTTGTTGTTGCAGGCGATGTTAGTCTAAAGTGTAGACCCAAAGTTAAAGCTGAAGCTAGAATCAAGAAGATAGAGAAAATCGAAGGAAACAGGAAAAGAACTGCACGGTCGATCGCGACGGTTGATCGCGAACGTGCACAGAGCTCAGAAGAGGCTGGAGCTGAAGACGGTTGACCGCGGCGGTCGACCACGCGGACCATGTAGGCATTTTTGGTCTCGGGACGAGATGGAGATGCGGTCGACCGCCGCGATCGACCGCGCCAACCCTATAATATTTTCTGCTCTCGGGAATCAGTTCGGTCGACCGCGATACCTACGCGATCGACCGCCACGGTCGACCGCAATGCTGTTTGACAGTTTCCTAAACTGTTTAGGAATTCTGTTTGGGTTGGGTTTGATATAAATACCCAAACATTTTTAGGGTTTGTTAAGCATCAGAAAACCATCAAAAGAGAGAGTTTTTGACAGAGAGATCTCAGAGAGATAAAACCCTAGTTTGAGAGCTTGTATTTCTTCTTCAATGAATAAAAAGAATCGTGTGGTGTGGCTCTCGAGGATGTAGGCACGTTGCCGAACCTCGTTAAATCTGTGTGTTCGTCTCCTTTATTATTCTTGCAAGTTTTGATCTTTATTTGTGGTGAATTTTCCTACTTTCCCACTTTTAACACAAGGTCCGAAAGGGCAAGGTTTCGATTTGATTGTTTCGAATCCCCAACAACTGGTATCAGAGCTTTGTTTAGCAATTTGTGTAAAAGCCATGGCAGAGGAAATTAAATCTAAGATCGAAAAGTTTGACGGCTCAGACTTTGCCTACTAGAAGTCACAGATGGAGGACTATCTGTACCAAAAGGACTTGTATTGCCCGTTGATGGGCAAGGATAAGGGACAGAAGAAAGAGGAGTCAGATGATGATTGAGAGATACAGGATAGGAAGGCTTTAGGACAAATCCGGTTGTCGTTAGCCAAGTTAGTAGCCCACAACATATTGAAGGAGAATATGATGGTGGGGCTTATGGAAGCGCTCGCAAAGATGTACGAGCAACCATCGGCAGCAAATAAGGTGCATTTCGTCAAGACTCTTTTCAACCTCAAGATGACAGAAGGACGGTCATTCACGATGCACCTCAGCGAGTTCAACATGATTATTAATCAGCGTATCTCCGTAGACATCACGTTTAATAATGAAGTGCAGGCCCTATTGTTACTATCGCAGTTGCCGGATAGTTGGGCAGGTTGTGTGACGGCAATCAGTAATTCGGCAGGGAAGAAAAAGTTAAAGCTGAGTGAGGTGGTTAGCATGATTCTATCCGAGGAGGTTAGAAGGAAACCGTCCGAATCAAAATGTTCAGGTTCAGCCCTAAACCTCGAATAGAGAGGCAGAGCCAGAAGAAAGGTTAGGCCTATTAAAGGAAAGTATTGGGACTGCGGCCAAGAGAACCATATGTCTTTAGTCTGCAAGAGTCCAAAGAAAGATGCGGGTGAGCAGGAGGCTCATATCGTACAGGATGCATTGATCATTTCTATGGATAGCAACTCGGATTCTTAGGTCATCGACTTAGGAGCCTCTTTCCCCACCACTGCTAATAGGAAGCTTCTTTAGAATTATGTAGCAGGGGACTTTGAAAAAGTATATTTGAG